GGGTGGGGGGGGGGGGGGAGGAGGTGTCAAAGGTTTCCACCCTGTGCTTGTCTTTGTACCGCTGACGGCAACACGTCCCCGGATGTGTCTAGTGGGCGTTGTGCGTTACCTCAGAGAATCATTCTACTGAAGCAGTTGTTTGGTGTCGCTGCTGCGGTCATAAAAAATCTACTCTATGGGGGAGCTAACTTATCCAAAAGGAATCGAAGCAGCTTCAGGAACGAGGCGACTAAGGAAAGGTTGATCACCAAATTTGACTACAGCTCGACGAGCTGGAGCCTCTATGCGATGGGATACAAGCGTTCTGCCGGCAGGCTCAAACGGCACAAGCACCGGTTCAAACGGCACAAGCACACCATTCCTGACGCACCAGCCGTATCAATCATATTTAGGGTCCATCCAGCTGCAGCGGTGACACGCATAGCCTCCAGGTCAAGAAAGCCCCATCCTCTTAGTTTTTTGAAAAAAAGCCTCGCCAAACAGACCCTGCGTATTGCGCTCCTCCTCACAACCACCTTGACTCCCTCTTCATCTCACCTAGCCATCGGGTTTCCGCAGACGCTAAGCTCCATCAGGTTCGGCAGCGCCCCCAACCGGTCAAGCTCCGCCGGGTCGGACAGCCGGTTCTGCGCGAGGCTAAGGCTAAGCAGCGCCGGCGTCGAGGCCCCCAGCCCCGGCGACAGCACCCTGAGCCCGTTGTCCTCCAGGCGGAGCTTCCGGAGGTTCCCTAGGCCGTTGAGAACGGAGGGGGGACCCAGCTGACGGATCTTGTTCCCGTCCAGATTAACCTCTACGAGAGTGCGGCACCGGTTCAGCCCCCCAAGGCTGCCGATGTTGTTGCCCTGGGAGGAGTGTATGCAGGCGGAAGGGCGGGTGCTTGACGGCCCCAACAATACGTAGGCGGAAAGAAAGAGGCGGGGGATGGACTGGGTGTAATCTGACGCGCTCTGTCGATTGGATAGCCGCGAGTGTGCTGAAAGATTACCTGCAAGTCCACGGCCAGAAGATGGTGCATGCATTCCAAGCCCAGAGCTGATATGTCAGCTATCCGGTTGAATCCCAAGTAGAGCACCTGGTAGCAACGACAGAAGTAACATACAGCAGTATACAACCATGAGACGAGAGGACACATGAGAATGTTGTTCGGCGGCAAGCAGGTCGGGATTAATGGCCAATGACAACTCTCAAGCTCAGCGCTGCATTGCACCACATCCCGGGTATGATGGGCGGCGAAAGCGAACCCGCAAATGCAACATGATCCGTCGTACAACAAACGTCGCGAAAGCGAGGCAGCTTGCTGTTGACTGCCGGCCCTTCAAACTGGGCGAAAAAAATGTACCCATACTTCTATTTACAGAAAATATCCATACACTCACAGAAAGACTAAGCGTTCGAGATATTATCACAGTCGAAGGAGATGTGTTTCTGCAGTGAGAAGGAGATGTGTTTCTGCAGAGAGTGAGAGAAAAACTGACTGGATACTGGGCGAATACTGAGCCTACTCAACCCTATAAACACTGGTCGTATTTACTAAATTCGCAGGCTTACTTCCAATCTGGCAAACATGGGCTCTTCGACGGCCGCCCCAGCAGAATTGTCACTTTCGACCTGTCCGATCTTCACGCCAGGAGTCGTACAAAGCAAGGAAGGTTGTAGGAATAGGAGATCTTTACGAATATAGTTGGAAGAGTGTTCTCAGCATGGGCTAATGCGCCCCGGTTCGGTATTCGAACACCTGTTCACGAGGCGTTGGGGGTTGGGTGTAGGTAACGATAACAATCTTGTTTTGGCAGAAAGGATGCCCTGCGATCGACACAAACGTTCTCAGTATTTCGCGAATGTCTCGATCGTGCCTTGAGCTCGGCAGGTTAAGACGGTTTGCGACCTTGCCCAAGGGAACCTTTCTCGTGAAGGGAGGGGGCTTAACCGGCAAGACAACAAGCTGAGCTCGCACGGTGCACAGCACACGCACAAAGCCCGAGCACCCCTTGAGATACCAAAACCTAGTCCCCAATTTATACTGCGAGAAAGTGCACAGAGTGTGTGTGTGTGTGTGTGTGTGTGTGAGAGAGAGAGAGAGAGAGAGGGACAGAGGGACAGACAGACAGACAGACAGACAGACAGACAGACAGACAGACAGACAGACAGACAGACAGACAAACAGGCAGGCAGGCAGGCAGGCAGACAGACAGACAGACAAACAGGCAGACAGAGACAGATGCACAGAAGCTGCGAAGAAAGAAGGTCAAACGAGCACTTAATATTGGCACGATTCTTACCGAATATATCTTGTTGTAGCTGAGTCGGAGTATGCCGAGAGAACGCAGGGCGCCAAGCGCGGCGAAACTAACGAGAGAGTTGTTGTCGAGGTTGAGCTCTTGCAAGGAGCGGAACGGCAACGTTGGGAGGACCTGGAAAAGCCCAAGGTGGGGGTGGGGGTGGGGGTTAGCCGAGACGGGGGGCAGTAGTCATAATTGCCTTGCCTTTGATAATGGGCTACCATTCACGCTTCTCAGATGCGCTTGAGCACCGTTCCTAAACCCAGTAGCGCCAAGGTCCGACGTTCGAGTGTTCTGTTCAAGCGGTTGCCATATTCTCACAACAAACGACTACAGTATCGCAATCCTCTACTGTGTGAGATGCTCGTCGTTGTGCGGCCATCATCCGGCTTCAGAAGATGTGAATACTTCTGCTGCTTCGGAGAGAACAACATCAACTCGGGGAATGTCCTCCGTTTCTGTCAGCGAGGGGAATTGGGGATATACAAGAAAGGCCGGTACATCCCTGAATAAATTATTACGAAGGTAGCGAGAGGTGTCAGAAAAATAGATTCCGTACGAATAGCATGCGGCATAACATGCTGGCACGTGCTACAACGAACGTTCTTGAGACGATATCGTCCCGACATCGTTTGCAGCAACAGCAATTAAGTCATGTATATGTGCGAGATTCGCCGCCGAGCAGAGTAGTAGCGGAGGTACTCTCGCGAAGGTGGTGCGATTCGAGTCTACGCTAAGGTGTTGCCTACGTTCTTTCTCACCTCCACACTTCGCCACTTGCTCTTGCTGAGGTTTAGGTACTTGATCGTCTCCACCTTTTCCCTGTTGTGCATGCCGAAGATCACCTCCTCCGTCAGCTGCGACGCCAAACCAAGATCCCGTCAGAGGGGCAGGCAAGCAGCAAGGGGGGATAAGCGGACGCAGTCGCACACATTTTGCTCTGGGTGTTTGAATCTCTCGCCCGGTTGGTTGTGCACACGCAAACCATCTCAAGTAGAGCAGCTACTTTTGCAGGTTAGTCACTGCCACCAGTTGAGTCGTGCGCGATGGCTGACTACACGTATGGATTTATCTTGCCTTTCTCTGCCTACGGTGCGTGATCTAAGGTGAATGGAGTCAAACCGACAACAACAACAAAAACAACAACGACGCTTGTCGCGCAGGGCTCCATCTGGCCTTGGGTATGCCGTGGCGCACCTTGCCGATGAACTTAAGCTTGGCCTCATTCTTCTCGGTCCCGCCGACACCAACGCCGTCCAAAACCTGGGTCAGAAGGGGAAAAGAGTAGGGATGAACAGAACAGGAAGATCTCACTTCCAATGTTTGAGGTTGCCGCGCGGGGTATTTAGTCTGCCGGATAGAGCACAGCTCCCTCTCCGTTTTGAGCCCTTAGGCGTGACGATGCAACGGGCATGGCGATAACCGTTCTCTCAATGCCTGCGGAGCAGCCGGCGCGAGCCCGTAAATGGGTACCGCGCTTCGACGAGGATTTGTGTTCACCAAAACGCTGAACAAGAAGATTTTGAGTTCAATGGTCTTTCATATTGCGGTACTGCGAACAACGCACATTGCATCCTGCGACATGGTATTTTTTGACACGTGACGCACACGTGATGACATGTTCGTTTGCGTTCAGATTTAAACGTAGAGACCCCGTGTCGTTGGACCCTCGAAAAATTTCCCTGTCAAGGCTCCCGCTCGCTGCTGCTACTGTTTCGAAAATCAATCAATCGTTTCTTGCAGTGATGGGCATAATTTAGAACGTTTTTGTCGGAGGGAAGAAGGGAAACTAATTTGTGTCCTGTGTGTGTGTGACGAGACCACCATTTGCATCTATCCCCTCCAGGTGCAGCGCCGTTTGTCCTAATAGCGATCCCCCCAAACCAAGTGGGCAATATGTCTTACTACGTTCAACATGTTGTTTGTCTTACGGTTATGTACCCTTACATCCTTATAGATCGCCGCGTGCAAGAGATCATTATTAGCTACAAAAGTATCTGAATGCACCAAGATGCACGTAACTTTCATATCAATATTCTTTTCATATTCTCCAACAACCCGGGGGCGCTGAAGTTATCGTAGCACTAAGGGGTAACAGCAGTGACAGCCTAGTGATGGCCCTCGAACTGAAACAAAGGTGGCATATAATATTCGTCCGTTTATCCTTGGCGCGGAAGCCGAGCGACACACTGCGCGGCAGGCAGGGTCGCACCTTAAGCGTGGGGATCTTGAAGAGGACTTGCAGTCGGAAGTGCGGCGATGAGCACACGGGGTTCCCAGACGTGTCGAGAATTATCAGCCGCGGTAACGACCTGAGCCGGTCTATCTGAAAGGAAGGAACGGCCGCAAGGAAAGGTGGGGGCGGGAAAGTACTCATATTTCGCATGCCTTCGTTGTTGGATCATTGACCACGCGTCCTCGAGAAGAAGGGGCAGTCTTCATACAGAACCGGACGCCGATGACCTTGCTTGTTTGCCACCCGGTGGCTCAAGTGCATTTTCTCTATCTGGTGAGGGAGGGGGGGTGGATAGTAATCGCGAGGTGGCGGTCAGGAGGGATTATGTCGTTAGGCGAGGCGTACGAGGGACGTCCGCGTCGACCGGCGCAAACAGTACCGGTGAGTCAGCGGCTTTCCTCGAGCCTTTCAGAGAAAAAATTCAAAAACATAACTATGAGGTTGAGATGTGGATGTGGGTGTGCTATGAAGTTGTGAGTATTAGCCGCGTCGATTCGTCAACCAGATGAAACACTGACTAGAACGTCAGCGGGTTCAAGCCACGCCCGCCCCCCCCCCTCGGTGTTTGCCATCGGGATTGGGTTTTCGTCGCTTAGCAACGACGTTGTAAAACAAGCCAATTCACTTCGTGAACTCGGCAACCAGGTTACCGGTTTTTGTTACCTCCGTTTGTTTTTTTTGGCGGTAACCATAATGGTGGTCGAGCAGATCATGTTGTGCGGGGT